GTTTGACGTATTTTTCTTCTGCGTAAAACACTCGCTATCAGAATGCGAGCTCGTCTTGTGTAAACTACACCACTTGTCACCGTTGCTCTTCTCCCGTGACTGAAACTGTTTTGACGAGTGGAACTCCTTCTTATCCTTCTTCCCAAAGTTCTTCCCGCTACCTTTGTAACCGTCATGCGGCTTACCACCATTCTGCTTACCGTGCTGCTTCCAGCCTCCAGAATGACGCTCCTTGCCCTGACGTCGTTCAGACTGTTCAAGCCGTTCAAAGTACTGGACAGCTTTAGGCATGGTGGTGAGGTGGATACCGCTGAATTCGTATGCTGTCTTCCACTCATTTGGCATAGCCCGCTTGAACGTCCGGATCATCGACTGCTCGTCGACAACCAGAGCGTTTGTGGGTAAATTCTTCAGCATTCGAGTGATCTGCAGGGCCCCCGAAAAAAAAATTGACGACACAGTAATTTCAATAAATAAGCAGACATTATTTATGTTGTCACCCTAAACTAGGCTCGTGCATAATTTATGGTGGCTGCATATTACATCCGGTAATTTATGCGTACAGTTTCCTGAAGTTATCTGCAGCAGTCAATCGATCGCCACGAACCAGTCGTTTTGTTGCCGAATCGGCTGATCTCAGCAGACTCATTTTCTTTTCTCTCACTTCCCACTTTAGAAATGATTCTCTTCCTGCGCGAAAATGCTGGTTACTGGGACGCACAAACACTTGACACAGCAACTCGAGCGTAGATACCTGTTATTGATTCAATAAACCTTGGTTATTGCAGCAGTAACTCAATTATTTATTGGTCTTCTAGCTAAAGCATCATAACGTATTGCCAACATACAAGCTAGCTTCGCGATAATTTATCGTGAAGATGCTACTACGATAAATAACAATATCATTTTCGGACCCCCTGGTGATCTGTCGCATTCGCTGATGACACTCAGCCACAGACTCATGGCGTCTCTTCGCAAAGAGAAACAACTCCTCCTCCAGTCGCTCGTGATACATGCTCGGCACGAACATGTGACCCCACTTCTGGTACGCGTCATCAAACGTGTCCTGGTCCGACATGTCTTCGGATCCAGACGTGTCAACCCACGCATCTAACGCGTAGTCATCTAGCACCAAACACAGGTGTTGTGCCTTCTCTTCCGACGACCACTTCTTCATCTTACTAACATGCT